CTGATTCCAAACATGTATCTCTAGTTGGGGGCAAACATTCTAGAGAACTGTTTAAAGCGAGTTAAGTTCTGATAGTACAGATGTCTTCAAATTTTCTACATTATTGTTATAACAAACACTGCGTGATTTTTTTCAACGGAAAACTACTCTCGAAAAGTTGACCTATCTATGACATCACACAAAACGCTTATATGATATTAAGCAGGATGCTTTATTTATATGATTGTGATGATTATTACTGATGAAATCTTTTATATCTAATGTTTTTCTAAAACAGATTGTTTGTTTTTAAATCAAAAACACCTTTAATACACTATTTCTAATTTTTGCTGATATCTCAATATTCTTTTTGTTCTACTATTTTACTGATGAGGGTGTGGGCATGGGTGTGGGTGTGAGAGTGCGAGTGCAGGTGTGAGTGTGCGTGTAGGTATTCATTTTATTCATAACGACACCCAACACTCACACCCACACCCACATTCACACCCACACCCAACAATAGGACTTGATGACCCAAGGGCACCCCCCAATAGTACGACTTGAGGATCCAAGGATACCTCCAGTAATAGGACTTGAGGGCTCAAGGGTATCCCTCAATAATAGGACTTGAGGACCTAAGGGTATCCCCCAATAGTAGCACTTGAGAACCCAAGAGTACCTCCCAATAATAGGACTTGAGGACCCAAGGATATCTTCCAATAGTAGCACTTGAGGACCCAAGAGTACCTCTCAATAATAGGACTTGAGGGCCCAAGGATACCTCCAATAATAGGACTTGAGGAACCAAGGGTACCACCAAATAGTAGCACTTGAGGACCCAAGGGTACCCCCAATAGGACTTGAGGACCCAAGGATACCTCTCAATAATAGGACTTGAGGACCCACGGATACCCCCAATAATAGAACTTGAGGACCTAAGGGTACCTGCCAATAATAGAAGCTGATGACCCAAAAGTACCCCCAATAGTAGGACTTGAGGACCCAAGAATACCTCTCCATAATAGGACTTGAGGACCCAAGGGTATCCCCGAATAGTAGCACTTG